GGAGATCTCCCGCCCCCGCCTGGACGCGGTCCTGTGCAGCCTGCTCTGGGTGACCCTGCTTCGGCAGGGGGTTGGACTGGGTGACCCAGAGGTCCCTTCCAACCCCTACCATTCTGTGAGCATTGCTCACTTGGTTTGACCAAGGGCTCCTGATTGAAGGTGGAGACTTTGTGTCTGTCCTTCGGACTGAGAAGAATTCTGGATTAGCACCAGTAGAAGACAGAATTCTTGGGGATCCTGCACCAACATTTATTGTTTTGGTTGGGTTTGAAGAGATATTGTCTCTTGGTCTTGCGTGCAGGGGCTGTAGAGACCCAGATGTGCCGTGCTGGGTGATTCCCTGCCCCAGAGCTGGGTGTGGGGCGTAGGAGAGCAGGCAGGGTGGCCAGACCCAGGACGGGGAAGCAGGAGTGCCTCCGCGTGCCAGGCCACTCAGACTGCCCACCTGTTCCCTGGCAGGAGCGCATCTTCATGGAGAACGTGGGAGCCGTGAAGGAGCTGTGCAAACTGACAGACAACCTGGAGACCCGCATCGATGAGCTGGAGAGGTGGAGTCACAAGCTGGCCAAGCTCAAGCGGCTGGACAGCATGAAGTCAACTGTGAGCTCTGGGGCATTCAGGTACGGGCGTACTGAGGGCACGGGAGCCAGAAGCGAGGTCTCCTTTGGAGCCCAGGCAGCCCCAAGTGACAGCTCGGTTTGGGAAAGGGGAGATGGGGAGCAGTGGTGGGGTCTTGGCAGTTGTCATTTGGTCTGGGGTGGATTCAAGGAGCTGAGATTGGTGGGATGGAGCCCTGGCCCGGGCTGCCCAGGGAGGCTGGGGAGTCTCCTTCTCTGGAGATCTTCAAGCCCCGCCTGGCCGTGGTGCTGTGCAGCCTGCTCTGGGTGACCCTGCTTGGGCAGGGGGTTGGGCTGGGTGACCCCAGAGGTCCCTTCCAACCCCGACCATCCTGTGATTCTGTGGGACAGGTCTGGTATACACGTGCCAACAGCCTGCTCTTAGACCAGCCCAGAAACCCCGGTATGAAATTGTCTCCACGTTTCCCTAGAGTCAGTGAGCAGCTTTCTCAGGGCAAAGAGTTTCTCGTGCTTCCAAAATGGTCCCGCTGACCCTGGACAGCTTCTGCAGGTTTGGGGGCAGAATTCAGGCTCTCTGGGCAACGGACCAGCACTGCACCTACCCCCGAGCAGATGAAGTGATGAGGGGCTGTGACTGTCGTGCCACAGGGAGATTTCTCCCCTCCTAAAGTATCACCTTTCTGCCCCGGCATCGCTTCGAGTGCTGTCACGGCGCAGCTCAGCTCCGTTCCTCCTCTCTCCTTGCAGCCAAACTGGAAGCCAGTTCAGCCGAGCGGGGAGCGTGCCCCACAAAAAGAGGCCCCACAAGGTAGCCAGCAAGGTAAGGGACTGCTCCCAAAGGAGAAGGTGGTCTGAGAACAGTCACCTGCGTGGTCCTCCTGTGTTTTCTGACATGTGCTGCAGAGGGAGAGACCCTGTCTGCTCCCATTTCCATAACCTCTCCTTCCTTTCTGTCCATCCCTAATGAAGGCGTTATCCAGCTTCTGCTTTGCGGTGGTTCAGGGCTTGAACCAAGAGAGCTTGGGATGGGCTGGGTGGGATCCGTGCAAGGACCAGAGCAGTAAGGAGCCCTGAGCTGATCTTGGGTTTTTTTTCCCTCTTGCAGTCACCGTCAGTTGTGCCAGAACAGGCCTGCATCAGCCAGCGCTTCCTGCAAGGCACCATCATTGCCCTGGTCATCATCATGGCGTTCAGGTGAGGCCACGCAGCCGGGCTGCTGCTTCTCCGCGGTCTCTCTCCAGCTCGCCGGTACGGCCCGTGCCATCCGTGGGGTGCTGTGGCCCTGCAGCTCCTTTGCTGGGCTGAAATCCCTCGGAAGCACGTCAGCACCGGGACGTGTCCCTCACCCTCAGCCTCTACCCCTCGCTTTCTTTCCAGTGTGGTGTCCATGTCCACGCTGTACGTGCTGAGCTTGCGCAGCGAAGAGGACCTCGTGGATATGGATGGGTAGGTACCTCTGGGCTCAGGGGGAGGGGGGTTTGTGGTGACTGGGGGGGCTCTGAAGCACAAAAAGCACCAGCTGTGGGGTTATTGAGCGTGGTTCCAGTGAGCCAAGCCATAACACCAACCAAAGGCATCCACACATCCCAGTCTGGTGTCAGTTAAATTATCTGGAGCAAGAAGCGAGGAACAGAGAAGAAGAAAATACCCCGTGGCTTGCCTGCTCACATACCCACTCGTGGCCAGTCTGAAAGTGCTTTGGATGCTTCTCCAGTCGTCCCACTGGTGGCACTGGGGCTGGACCAGTCTGCACTAGGCAAGAGTTGCCCTCTGCAAGCAGTGTCCTTGGCGTGGAGAGAGCCTGGAGGGACGGTCCCCAGCCCGGCAAGCGCGCGCACGGGCAGCCTGTGCTGGGCATGCAGGTTTTGGCACACCTCGCTCCTTCGGGAGCTCGTGTCACCAGATAATGAGTCTCTTTTTCTCTCTCTCTCTTCCCCCTCTCCTATTTCTCTCCCTCCTGTTCTGGTTACATCTCTCATCCAACCCATTTTCTCCAATTTTCCCGTTCTTGTCCTTGCATCTCCGTTATCCTCCACGTCCTCTTCCATTCCCCCCATCCTCCTCATCTTCTACCGCCCTGCCTTGTCGTCCCGTCTCCCTTCGCTGTCCTGTAGCTCTTTCGCTGTGCCCACTGCCTGTCTCCTGGCCCTCTTTCGGCACAGGGGTCCTGGGGTCCCGGTCGCTCTGTGCCCACGGTATGTTACTGTTTTGTTATATTATTATTGAATTGCTGCATCCCTTCTCTCAGTTCCGCTGCTTTCTTCCATCTCTGCCACAGAAGACCAAGAACCTTAAGGCAAATTGAAAGCAAAGAAAGGGATGTGAAGATGCTTCAGCAAGGGGGACTCCACGAGGATTAGGAATCCCATCAGGAAGGGGAAATTAGGATTAGGAGATTGAAGAAGCAATTAATCGAAGGTTAAATAAAGAAATTACATGCTACAGGTAGAGCAGGAGCAGACAGTTTGAAAGGGGTGGAGGGAGTGTGTAAAAAGGATGAAGGCTTTGAAGAATGAGCCAAAAAGCTGTTCCTACCCTCTCTTCAGATGTGAGTGGCTTTGTTGTGGAGGGTCGCTCTCAAGTACGGGACAGCTTACGGTGCAAAAGGACCGAAAAAGCCCTAAATTATTTCTTTTTATGAGCTGTCACCACTGGGAATGTTTGGAAAGGTACTGACACAGGGCGAGCTGGCGGATTTTCTCGTTGGGGACAGACCTGTCAAGCCACCTCAGTTAGTGGGGTCTGCAGGGCTGCTGCGAAATCCTTCCCGTAAGAGGAAAACAGAAGGAACAATTCATTTGTTCTTTAAGAACTCCCCAGAGTGTTTCCCAGGAAGCTGTTAAAAAGGTAATTGCTGGCGGGATGCGATATTAAGCCACGCCTGGAAAGCGCTGACGAGGCGGTGGAGGAAGACGAGGGGCGAGGGCAGGTTTTTGGCTGGGATGAAGGTTAGCTCCAGGGGCCGGTGGCCACGTCCTCTCCAGGAGACCGGCGTTGCGTCTCCTTTCACCAGCAAAAAAAAGATGCACAGTGAGTAAAGTCTTGCAGGTTTCTCTAAACGAGCGAAAGCTCCGTTTATCTTTGAGAAACCTTGAGTGACACTGAGGGGACAGGCAAGACGGGGGTAGAGGACAAGCAGAAGGTGGAACAGGTAAATCTGAACGGCTCCCACGCTTGGGCAGGGTCTGCACCATAAAATCTGGAACATCTTTGTTAGGAGCTCAGTAAAAATTTCGGCTCCGTGGGCAGCTACAGAAGGCGTTTTGGTTTATCCCACGTCTCTTTTCAGTGGTGCCCAGTGACAGGACAAGGGGCAATGGGCACAAACTGAGGCACAGGAAGTTCCGTCTGAACATGAGGAAGAACTTCTTCCCTCTGAGGGTGACGGAGCCCTGGCCCAGGCTGCCCAGGGAG